AGATAGAGAGAGAGAGAGAGAGAGAGATAGATAGATAGATGATAGATAGATAGATAGATAGAGAGATAGATAGATGATAGATAGAGAGAGAGAGAGAGAGAGAGAGAGATAGATAGATAGATGATAGATAGATAGATAGTTAGATAGATAGATATAGAGAGATGAGATGATAGATAGATACATACATACATACATACATACATATAGAGCTAGAGAGAGAGATGAGAGATAGATAGATAGATATAGATAGATGATAGATAGATAGAGATAGATAGATAGATAGATATAGAGATAGATGATAGATAGAGATAGATAGATGATAGATAGAGAGAGATGAGAGAGAGAGAGATAGATAGATAGATAGATAGATAGATAGATAGATAGATAGATAGATAGATAGATAGATAGATAGATAGATAAGGGGCGGGCTTCCTTATTGTCATAAGTCGAGGACCAATCACGTTTGACTTAATGGTCTTGGAATGCTGGTGGGGATCAAGGCGTGCGCCGCTCGGACTCCAAAACCCATCATGCCCCTCTTATTTATTCTTGTTTTCTCTGGATCTCGTTTTTCTTTTCCTTTTTTCCCCTCACAGATCTCGATTCTCAAGTGACTTCCAAAGGTTTGCAAGCTATTCTACCTCCCGCCCAGCCCCGGTCGTATTTCAAAAGCGTCTCCGTCACAAAAGTGATGGCCCCGGATGGGGTGAGTGCCACCGGTTTCAAAAAAAACGAAACAACCCCCCCCCCCCCCAAGTTTCTAGTCCTCATAAAAACTCGAAAACTCCCGCCCCTTTTTCAAAGCCGTTTCTCTGAACTTCCGGCCGTTTTGTGGTTCTCCTGGTTTTTAGACGGTCGAGGAACGCCGGACGGTGCGCGACAGCCAGGGTCACGAGGAGACGGTCGTTACTCGGAGCCCGGGGCCGGATGACGGCCTGGCGAGAGGCCCACGTGAGTCCCGCTTCCCAACTACCATTCGGGGCGGTTCGGAGGAGGCGGGTGGGACACACATCCCTTTTGATTGATTTATATTTTTGATCAGAGTTCGCCAACACGCGTTTCTAGTCCTCATGGTGGGTAGATTGGAATCGGGCAAGCGAAAGAACCAGGAATGGGAATCTCTTTTAGAGAAATGGGAATAAAACATCAGTGGGAATTCTCTCTCCACCCCCACGCCCCCCCCGGGGTTTCTCAGGAGATCCGGTCCCTTTCAGCCCTGGCCCGGATGGAGACTTGAGTGACACCAGTTCGATTCTCAACAGCTTTTTCCGCCGCTGGTTTCCGAACCAGTAATTCCTTTGGCAGAGAGGCAGGTAAGGGCGAAGCATCTCGCTGCCCAGTTGGCGTTTTCTCCGACTTAAGCCTTGCCCTCCCTCCATATGGTTCAGTTTGGTCTAGTAGTGAAGGCTGGAGACCAGGAGACTGGGAGTTCTAGTCCCGCCTTAAGCATGAAAGCCGGCTGGGTGATTTTGGGCCAATCACCAGGAGACTGGGAGTTCTAGTCCCGCCTTAAGCATGAAAGCCGGCTGGGTGACTTTTGAGCCAATCACCAGGAGACTGGGAGTTCTAGTCCCACCTTAAGCATGAAAGCCGGCTGGGTGACTGAGCCAATCACCAGGAGACTGGGAGTTCTAGTCCCACCTTAAGCATGAAAGCCGGCTGGGTGACTGAGCCAATCACCAGGAGACTGGGAGTTCTAGTCCCACCTTAAGCATGAAAGCCGGCTGGGTGACTGAGCCAATCACCAGGAGACTGGGAGTTCTAGTCCCACCTTAAGTGTGAAAACCGGCTGGGT